AGGGAGGGGCCGCGCGCGCGGGGGGTTGGGGATGAGAGGGGAGGAAGCAGGGGAATAGGGGAGAGGAGAGGCCAAAATGATTAATGGGTTTACCAAGACCTGACACAAATTAAACTTTCTCTTTCCCTCCTTCCCATTTTGTCTCTCGCTCTCTTTTTGTACCTCTCCACTTCCCTCCCTACTATACTTTTTTTCTCTCCTCTCACCTTTTTTGAAGAGGGACAACCATTCATCACAATTAGAGCTGCTCACCTCTAACACACACCCACAGGCAGCAGACCATTGTTACCGGCTAGCAGCCAAGCCAGAATTTATATAAAGAAAGAAAGAAGAAAGCCAGTTAAATAACATATCCTCTTTAATTCTTTACTGCTCTTTTTTATTTTACTCTATTTTATTAATCTGTCGACCCTTTTAATGTACACCTCCGTGATTCTCTGGAATCCATTCAACTCTGCATCAATAGCGATGAATTGGTGTCACCTTGTGACTGTAATTAAGATTGTGACGAAGTCCTTAATGGAGCGCCGCAAGGTGTACTCAAACTGTTTTCTCCAACGGTGCACGCACTTGCATACACCTATTAGGGCTGTGCAATTTATCGTATTTTAATCTCTTTATTTACTGGTATTTATTATTTTGATATTATTTATTTAAATGTAGATATAAATGTGTAAATTGTATGTAGTTGTATTGGTTTTTCAGTTGAACTACAGTATACTTACAGTTCAGGGTAATCAACTGTTAAAAACATACTGTTCAAATTATTATTTTTTTTTTTTCAAGTTCAATAAATGGATGTTTTCAAAGTCAATGAACAATCGTATGTAATAATTGTGATATCAATATTGACCAAATATAATCGTGATTAGGATTTTTGCCATAATCGAGCAGCCCTAACACCTACTGTATACACATGGTCAGATTCTCAGCCAATACAACCTGGACTTTCACTGTTACACTGATGACACACAGATTTACCTCAGCACCAAATCCCCCCCTCACCCACATCGAATCCTGTCTGACTGCAATACAATCCTGGATGCAACACAACTTCCTCAAACTCAACAGCAATAAAACTGAACTCCTCCTCATCGGCTCCAAATCCACCCTCAGCAAAACCCCCAACCTGACAGTCACCATTGATGGCACCCCTGTTTCCCCCTCCACCCAGGCACGCAACCTTGGCGTTATATTTGACCCCACCCTCTCCCTCGAGCCCCACATCCGTCAAGTTGTAAAAACCTCATTTTTCCACCTCCGCAATATTGCCAAACTCCGTCCCTCTCTCACCCGCCCTGCAGCTNTTAGTTTTATGAAGAATATGTCCGGTCGCCAGGGCGTGTGTGTGTGTGTGTGTGTGTGTGTGTGTGTGTGTGTGTGTGTGTGTGTGTGTGTGTGTGTGTGTGTGGGCATTTGTTTATGATAGTATTGTTCGTTCCGGTGCACTTCGGCAGGACTATAGCACATCGAGATTAAGATTAAACTAATTTCTTTCACTTGGGAATACACATAACTATGGAGAACCAGATTTGTGTAAATTACTGTTTGTGGTAATTTGAAAACAAATGCCGTTGTCGGACACACACAAACACACTGAACACGCACATACAGAGCGGAGCTGAGCACAAACAAACAAACAAACAAACACACACACACACACACACACACACACACACACACACACACACACACACACACATCATGCGCCCCGGTGACAGGACATCTCCTTCATAAAAAAAAAAAAAAACGAGGGGGAATACTCTGGTAGTTCGATGTGTGTATAGGTGTGTGTGGTTAAACGTAGCAGCCTCGATCTCTATTCAGCTGTTCTAATGAAGGGGAACGCAGTGAAGTAAACAGTAAAAGGCACAGCTCTTTGCAGCTGGTGCTGCTCTTCTCAGATTCTGCTGAGTTACACGTTACTGCCTCCAGTGCCCTGTACGACGAAGCCAGTTCAACAGACCCTGGATATGTTTGATTTACCCGGCTTAACTAACCCTAAGAAACGCGATATCGATAAGCGGTCCTACGAAACTAGATTATCAACTCAGCAAATCTAACAGGGTTTCTCTGACCGGTTGAGAGCGCGTTCACCTGAAAGGGACGGAATTAGCAAGATTTGACCAATCACAAACATGGAGACGCGTGCTTACAGCGGAGCGTCATACTTCATGAATGAATAGTGTAAATAATAAATCCTGCTACTGGTGCCGCAGAGATTTCATAAAGTGAAGGAGGTTTTCCTTCTATAAAACAGCTGTGGGCAGCAGATACTGTGAGTCACGGACAGGAATCCCTGAAATTTAAATAAAACGAGGCCACGCTTTATTAACTCGTGTGCATGCTTTATTAACTTGTGCGCATGCTTTATTAACTCGTGCGCACGCTTTATTAACTCGTGTGCATGCTTTATTAACTTGTGCGCATGCTTTATTAACTCGTGCGCACGCTTTATTAACTTGTGCGAACGAGAAAGTAAAACGTGACCACGTTTTATTTATTTTTCTCTCTATGAACCCTCCAGGGCTCCGTACAGAGATGTATTTGAAAGAGGAAGACAAGTAAAGGGTGCACAGGCGGGATTCCAACCTGGTCCACAGCAGCAGGGCTGAGCCATATCATAATTTGTATTTATGATGTCAACTTGTGCAATAAAGACACTGCGAGAATATGACTAAATATGATAAAAATGTAGCTAGTTGAGAAAGAAAAGTATCTGAATAAAATGCACTTTAAAATTAAACCATTATTCTTACTTAGAGAATTTTGTTCTAAGGTTAATATTCAATTTATTCAGTCAAAAAGAGTTGAAAATAATGATCCTATATTTTACACACCAATAATAATTTTTTCAGTTTAAAGTGAATGTTCATCGCAACATCGTTATATTGTTAGTGCGTATTGCATATTGCGGTGCAGCACTGTTATCTCATAAAGGACGTTTTGAGCTGGATATAAGTCTGATTCCTATCCTCTCCTTCCAGGACGCTGTCGTTTCAGTTGGTGCTCGGTGTGAACTGGTGTGGCTTTAATACCTCATTCACACCAACGCAACTCCGGTTCAAGCTCCGTGCTAGAGCATTTCAGGTTCAGAACCGGTTCTTCGGTTTAGCTCCGGCTCTTTTCACATTGCCCAGAGTCAGACCCAACGGCGCCCAAACCGAAATAACTTCGTCCTGCGTTTGCCACATGCACGTTACTGCGTTTGCTACTGCGTTACTGCNCACACCAACGGTGTTTCAGGGCCGGTTCGGAGCTGGAGCTTGAAAAGCACCGGGTTTTCCTCTTCACACCGTAGCGGAGCAGCCTCTTAGCTCCGGAATCCGGTTCGTTTCAAGCACCAAAAAAGTGTCCGGCCAGAGCAAAAGCACCACCACCTACATCACGCTTACGTCGAGGCGGGGGGCAGGAGCAGGGGCGGGATCAACTCCTGAACAACAACAAATAGCCCGCATTTTATCCAGTTTGTACACAACGATGGAGAAACTTAACAAGCAGCAGTGGTCCACTGAAGAGACCAGCTACCTACTGGGAATCTGGTCATCCGAAGAGGTACAGAGGAAGCTGGANGAGAAACTTAACAAGCAGCAGTGGTCCACTGAAGAGACCAGCTACCTACTGGGAATCTGGTCTTCCGAAGAGGTACAGAGGAAGCTGGAGCACAATCGGGCCGATTGTGCTCCAGCTTCCTCTGTACCTCTTCGGAAGACCAGATTCCCAGTAGGTAGCTGGTCTCTTCAGTGGACCACTGCTGCTTGTTAAGTTTCTCCATTGTTGTGTACAAACTGTATAAAACGCCGGCTTTTTGTTTTTGTTCAGGAGTTGATCCCGCCCCTGCCCCTGCCCCTGCCCCCGCCTCGACGTAAGCGTGATGTAGGTGGTGGTGCTTTTGCTCTGGCCGGACACTTTTTTGGTGCTTGAAACGAACCGGATTCCGGAGCTAAGAGGCTGCTCCGCTACGGTGTGAAGAGGAAAACCCGGTGCTTTTCAAGCTCCAGCTCCGAACCGGCCCTGAAACACCATTGGTGTGAATGAGGTAATACAGTCTGTTTGGTGGACAACCAATGTATCTTCTCTAGAGCCCCAACAACACATAACATCTATGATATTAATGTCCATCAAAGGCAACTTAAAACTGTTAAAAAATAATACATAAATAATATATATATTTTTTAAATCACAATTTCTCTCTTTCTCTCAGTCAGTGTCTGCCCTCTCCTAGGTTACTTGTAGGTGAAATTAGCTGCTGTATGCAACATGTACAGCAAGACAGGATGGGATGCCAAAGACAACATAAGTGAGTTGTTGAGCTAACACAGAGGCCTTTGTCATAAAACATGGTGCGAACATTCAACAACATCACACCACGAGGGAGCTGCAGGCAAACAACCCCCCTTGATCCTTGACATGCTCTCTTCCTCCTGCACTCTTTCATTCTGCCACCCTGCCTCTCATTATCTCCTCCCCTCCTCATCCTCCTCCTTACATCCTCCCCACCTTCATCCTCTCCTTCACTCACAGTCTTTTATCTCACCCTCTACCTTGGGTGCTTTTTCTTAGTCAACCAGCGAGCCTAATTACAGCAGAATCCCCTCTTTGAGCTTTCCCCCGGGAATCAAGGTCGTTTGAGAGAATGAAATGCTTGTCACGCGAAAATGTAGTCGTCTATAACAAATCTTGGACCAAAGCTTATTCAAACGGTGACAATTGTCACTATCTAATTTTTTTATAGCTTCGGTGCGTTTAGTGGCATGTTGTCAACAAAAATGTTCAAACACCAGTGGAATTGAAACCCAGTTTATGTATGCCTTGCATATGTTTGCCTGTTCAGATGTCTTTGAAGTTTGGTTAAAGACAAATGAGGCTAAAAAGAAAAATGGAAATGTAGAGAGCAATCCACAGTGTTGACAGAAGAGA